GAAAAGCAAAATTACCACAGGTTTGGTGTTTTTATTCTAGCTGGAGACTCTTCTGAAGTGTATACCCATGAGCCTATAAATTGTCGTATCGTGAATCCTTAGGTTATGAGCTGAGTGTGTTAGTCATGTGGTTACTGAGTTTGTATTTTCGTGAAGCATGAGTTTTCCCTACTGTCAATTCATGATACTGCACCTTCATCAGGCCGTGTCATAAGTTTAGACCCATCTTCGTGTCCGAATTCGTGGGCCTGGTGGGTTTAAAAGATAGTTAGATGCCATGTTAACATCAGTTAGAGAACCATTGAAAACTAACATGGAGTACTGGACAAATGTTTCTTCCTAGCTTGAGTGTCTTCATCTGTACGCACCCATGACTTCAGGTTCTTCACGTTACTAGGAAAGCCCTTTATTATTAGCAAGCCAAACTGGGATGAAACAGCTGTGCAGTACTGTTTGGTTTCAGATGATTCTCGAACTGATGTCAGTCCGTATTCTGAAGTTATTATAAGTGGTGCTCTGAATTCTATTCACCAGTGTCTTCAATTTACGCTTAATTACTTCAATGTGCGCCAATGGCACAGCGGTAGAATACTCGCCAACCACGCCTCATGTGGTCCGGCCACCGACTCACTCATTTACCTCACTAAGCCAGTAATCAAACTGGTAAAGATGGAAGGTTTGACATGAGGCTGGCTAGCAACCCCACCCCGTAAAAATAAACACCACTGCTACTGAAACTTCAAGCCTGTAGCTTGAAGCCGCCCTGTGTTCCACTGGGGACGTAAAGGGGTATAATATTATAATATATCATACATATTTTAATTCCTTGAACTGAATTCACGTAGTACTTTTTTATATCTATCTCACTTGTATTCTGATTGATTATTTTTTATTAATCCCTTTGGTTTCGAGTGGAACATGAGGCTTCAGAAGGACAATGCCATTTCATCCTCTTCTCCACAGTCCTCTATAGTTGGCTCTTAGATTATCTACGAAAAAGCCTCATCTTTATCCCACATAATTTCCCCTGTGCCACCCTCAGACCCAAGCCTAACTCGTCGTCCCCTATTGGGTTACCACTCAAAGGCTGGTCTGAAGTGTGATATCACTCAACGGTCTCGTCAGCGTGTATCCCGTCCATCTCCACTCACTTCGGCGTATTTTGGATGGCTGACCGTCTGTAAGAGTTCCTAGTTGCTTATCCTTCCTGTTTAGCCGCCGGAAATTTTAGTATAGAACCAGTGAACGTAGCTATTGACGAAAATCTGTAGTAGTCTGTGGGAAGTGCTTCTGGTGACCTGCCAAGTCTCTGAACCACATGGGAGCACTGCCTTACTTAACTTTAGTGTTGACAATCCGAATCTTGTCCCTTAGGTTAATTGAAGCCGATTTCCATATTGCTTTCAAATTATTGAATGTCTATCTTGGCTTTCCAGTTGTGGTGGGCTTTGAAATCCTCATCCATTCCGACTGCCTGTAGATGAAACAATGGTGCCCAAATAAGTGAAAGAGGTAACTTCCTTCAAATCTCTTCCGTTGATGGTGATTGGTGCTTGTTGTTGTTGGCCATTGGATATCTTCATCCCAAAGGTCTTCTCTATGTTTAACTGAAGTCTCATCTTCGTTACTAGCCTCTTCTGGCAAATTTTCGGTCTTGCACCTGTAGATCTTCAAGTTTGTATGATATTAGACACCAGTCATCTACAAAGTCCAGATGCTCTAGAGTCTTCTCATTGGTTCATCGTATTTGTGTCTTCTCGTTCGCTGCGTACTGTGCGCCACAATATCCACTCCACCAGAATTAAACATATCACTGGTGATAGTAGGCAGCTTTGTCCTATTCGGGTAGTCAATGCAAAGGCATCAATGAGTTTTCCATTGTGGATAACTTGACTTTGATGTGGTTGTGTTCTCTGAGCTAGATGGTTTATTTGAGAAGCTTTCATCGCCCTACTAGGCAACATATTCAGCTCATACTACTTCAACTTACTGAAGTGAGCTTTCAAATTTCTCCCCGAGTTTATTAGTCATCTCTCCCGGTGGATGACCTTGAACGTGATTGGATGTTTCTCTGTGTTTCTAGACTACTTGTATTAGAAAATTCGCAAATTGGAGACAATCAGTTCCAATACAAGTAGCCTAGAGAGTGTGAAAACACACAGAAACAACCAATCACGTTCAAGGCCACCCACCAGAAGAGATGACCAATAAACTCATGGAGAAATCTAAAAGCTCACTTCAAGAAATTGAAGTAGAATGCGCTGAGCATTTTGCCTAGTAGGGGACAATAAAAGCTTCGCAAATAAACTATCCAGCTCAGAGAACACAACCACATCAAAATCATCCACCTGAGCTACAAATCTTCTCCGTCATATCAAAATCTTACTAGAGGATAAGCTGACATATGGCATTATCATGTAGCTGCTGATTTTCTACATCTCAGTGATCTACAAGTGACATTATTGTAACTCTCCGCGAGATTGTTTTCAGAAAGCCCCAATGGTACCCTCAACTCCCACTCCCCATCCAGCTCTAAATTATCCCAAGTTATGTATCTTACCAAAATAACAATGTAAACGGGAGGAAACCAAAGACGGGTACAATATCAGTTGACAGAAAACCGCATACCGATTTATTCTACTGGGTCTTATATCTCAATCTTTGTATGGTTGACGCCTTGAATCGTTATGAATCATCGCTTTATGCTATGCAAAGAGTAAATATTGATTGATGTATTTGATTATGTAGCCTAACAACTTGCTTCCCTTGCCTTTATGTGATTGTTTGATGGTATCTGCTATTGTTCTTGACAAAAAATTATATATATAGATCTTGTTTTGTTTAAACGCTGAGTAGGTAGCATTATTGATTTTAACTGATTAAAGATGTCCATCTGAGATTTCAAATAGACTGATTGGTGGCACGCTGAATATCTCTTTTCGATAATGCCTTTTTCATCACGTTCTTTATTTATATGACCGTAGTAATAATTGAAGAATTACTGTTATTCATAACATTAATGTTTTAAACAATATTGAATCAATAAAACCGATAGACTACAGTTCAACAGCATTTGTGAGTTGTGTTATGCATAAAAATGTGATAATAACGGGAATATGAGAACGAGTTAAGAATTCTACAACAGGCCAACGTAGAAATAGTAGCTGGACTTGTTTCTTTTGCATACACAGCACTGGTTGTTTTGCACGAATTTCAGTGGCATCTATTGTTTGGAATGTTTGGTATTTGGGAGGGCCCTAAGCAATTTATTAGGTATTTGATAGAGGATACATGGAGATTCTTCAGTGGTGGCTTTACAGCCTGTTTAGACGAGGTGATCTACTGTCGAACTGTCGATAGTTTCAATTAAGCCTTTATTTAACCACACTGATAATAGATTTCCGAACACAATTTATTCAGTTCCTCGAGTAATGATCAATATAATTGTCGCCAAAGGAGCAGATGAGTTGCTAGATACTCTGTGTTTCAGCTGCGGAATGACACTCGGCTGTGTCGAAAAGGCAAGCTACTACTTACTGGCTTTTCAACTTGTTTGTTTTTATTTCTATTGGTTCATCACCTTTGAATTGCAGTCATATATATATATATATATATATATAGACAACATCCTCAGCGCATACTTCAATTTGTTGAAGTGAACTCTTAGATTACTCCACGAGTTTATATGTCATCTCTCTTGGCGACCTCGTCCGTGATTGGTTGTTTTTATATGTGTTCACACCCTCTAGGCTACTTGTATTGGTATTGGTGTTGATTGTTTCCTTGATCTGAAGTTTGACCCTTAGTGTATGAGATTACCTTCTTATCAATTGGTAAGTTTTGTCTATCTCAATGTGTCTATTGATTGACGATTCACTGGAATACCAGACTTCTAAAAATTCTCTAGCATTCTTGATGTTTCCTCTATCTAGTATTTGAACGTTGTCCCAGTCCAATTGATTTCCATGGTTGTTTATGTGCAGTAATATGAGGGATTGAATGTTATGTCTTTTGATGGCTAGTCTATGTTCATGGATATGGAGACGAAGAGAGCGTCATCCATTTTGGCCAATGAAGTGTTTTTCGCCGTCCTTGCAACTAATTCTGTAGATGATGTTGGTTTTATCTTCTTCCGCTGTTGAGTCTTTTGGCTGACACACAGCTGGCTGAGTGAAGTGATTTTGTTGGCTTGTGTGCAATATCAATTCCTGAAGTTTTGTGGAGTCTTGCAGTAATTTCTGAGATATCCTTTATATATGATGGGGTGATTTTCTTTGTGTTTTCCTCAGGGGCGTATGATTTGTTAGGTAGGGTTGGGGATAGATGTCTTTTGATGAAATTCCGTGGATGTCCATTCTTTTGGAAGACGTTCATGAGATATTCTTCTTCAATTTTCCTTTCTGAGTTAAGTCCTGGCTGGCCTTCTAAAATAGTGTTTGTATACAACTCCTTTTGTGTGTTATTGGATTGTTGCTCTTGTAATTCAGTATTTGGTCTGTGTGAGTTGATTTTCTATAGACTTGAGTTTCTGATTCTCCTATGGTTGTTCGCTTGACTTAGAAGTCGTAAAACAGGATTTTTTCTCGGATTCCTTTTCTCATGTGAATTTGATGTCGTTGCAGATGTTGTTTATTAAGTTGTAAGTTCTGTCCAACTCGTTGAACTCGAGTTGAACCTTGTGATAGCTTTCTTTCTTACCCAAGAACTATTGAAAACGAGGGAATACTGGACAGATGTTTCATCCTAGTTTGATTGAATGATCAATGAGTTTGCCTTATAGCTCCAATATCCTAAAGTCATGGGTGCGTGCAGTTGAAGAGGCTTAAACTAGGACGGAAAGCCCATTCAATACTCTCTGTTTTTTAATTATTCTCCCTTTGATACCAATGCATCGTCCAACTTAAAAGTGATGCGTTGAATATACTAGTTTTTGTTTGCTTTTGTCTGAATGAAACAAACTGAAAATTTTGATTATATTATTATTATCATTACTATTTCAGAAACTTTTGCCTATGGGATAAAAATATGATCTCTGCTTGGTTGTATAGAATCGGTCTTGGCTATACAGTATCAAATACTCGAAGATGGTTAAATACCGGTCAGGATTTGGTGACTGCATCAAAGAAATCATTAGCACAGGTAAGATATTTTGAAGTGAACTGAATTCTTTTTTGAAAGGTTATTTCAAAATGCATAGGACTATATACTACTGATTGAGTGAAATGAGTAGTTAGATGTCACTCACTCATATCACCCAGTAAGGCTTGCTAACCAGCCATATTGAAGTGATCTAAACACTAGTGGACGGCAGTTTCGCTCGTTTGAGGTTGAGCTCATCAGACATGTGTGTGGTTTGAATCAACTCAGAGAGCAGAATCACTTCAAGTTCTGTCTAACTACTTGGGCGATCTGGTCCCGCCGTAAATAAAAGCCACAATTCACAATATCCATAGTTCGCCTAAGTAGCTAAACAGAAATTGGATGGTTTTCAACTGATTTGACTCTCTGAGCTGAGCCGAACCCCTCACCCTGCTGAGAAGCTCGGTCTCAAATGAAAGAAACGGCCATCCGGTCTTTAAATTACTTCGATCTATATAAGCAGTATACAGCTCCTCATCTCATCTCATTCGTTCAGCAATGTGTAGTTTCGTCTATATATATGCCTACTTTCTTGATTACCAGTTTTGGCATCAAGTTGATCACATACTGTGATCTGAATAAAAATTGATTTCCAGAGGAAATTTTGGTAAAAATGTCACCCCTCGAGTTGCGTAAATTGCGAATTGTGGATTTGATTTAAAACCAGGGAGTACTGGGTAGCTGTTTCATCCTAGGTTTTTGGGAATCATTGGCAGTACACACCCATCGCCAGGGTTCGAACTTTGAACCTTCCGATTACAAGGCAAGCTCGTTGACGACCATTCAGCCACTGGGACCCGACTCCCAGATGACCAGCCCATGAATTCTAACTTCTACCAACTCGTAATTTTTAGTGCGATCACCACCCAATGTTATCGGTGAAAAATCCATCCCACCTAACTGGTCACGACTTCTCACTGGAACTCCAGGAAACTCCATCCAGTAGCAAGTCACTGACAAGCATTAGATTGATTTTCAAGGGTTGATTTTTAAAGATTTGATTTTCGAATTTGACCTCGGATGGGCATTATGGGCCATTGCATTGGGTCCCAGTGGCTGAATAGCATACGAACTTGCCGTGTAACCGGAAGGTCCTAGGTTCGAGCCCTGGCGGTGGGTGCGTATTGACGATAATTCTCAAAAACTAGGATGAAACGGCTGGCTGTCCAGTACCCCCTGGCTGGTTTTCAATGGTTGTCTAACTGATATCAATCCGTGATCAAACTCGGAAAACAAATCTAATCCTTACGAACCAACTCTTGAAAATAATAATAGTAATAATGATAACAATTATATGAAACAATTAGCCTCTTTAGTAAATTTGCCTAATGTTATTAGAAGACGGAGAATGTCTGGAAAACGCCGTCATGTTATTTTCATTATTATCATTCCTGTACGTTACCAGTGGAACACAGGGCGTCTTCAAGCTACAGGCTTGAAGTTTCAGTACCAGTGATGTTTATTTTTACGGGGTGGGGTTGCTAGCCTCATGACCAACCTTCCCTGTTTACCGGTCTTATTACTGGCTTAGCGAGGTAAATGAGTGCGTCGGTGGCCGGGAATCAAAACCCAGACCACATGCTTGGTCGGCGAGCATTCTACCTATGCGCCACTCACTTACGTCATCATGTATATTTGAGCAATATACTTCCAACAGTCTGATCAGAGACAATCTCTCGTTTACAATAGGGGTAATGTTAAAAACATGCAGCATATAAAATGGAAATAATAATAAGAATGATAACAGCTAAGGTAATAATAATAATACTAGTGAAAATTTCCGTGGGCTTGTTTCACACAGTATTGTCGATGCGGTATACAAATCCTTGCATGATTAAAATGTTGAATATAATGCTCTCTTTACATGATATGGTGAGGGAAAAAACAAAGATTACAGCAGTTATAGAGATAAGTTGGTGTTTGTAGTTATGAAAGTGAAAACAAGGAAGCAACAGGATCATAAATATAATAGAAATAATAAAAGTAAAACTTGAAGGTATGTAAAGATGGATGGAGGAGATTGTTTATTTACTAGATGATAAAAGGTTAGTCAATTCTTGCCTGACGCTATTTTCATCACATAAAATACGTGCCAAGTATGGTATCATAGAATTTTTGTACTTAGACGTGCAAGCATACAGTTTTCTGAAGTTACTTCTTGTTCTACCTGAGGAGATGCAAGGTGAAAGTTGAGGGTGAAGTGGATGCTCCAAGCCAGACAAAATACCTCTAGCAAATTTATTGCACGAAATCAAGTGCCTATCGACAACGACGTTAACTATATGGTCCACTGGGACACCACTCATCCTACTGGCCATCTTCAGCATTCTACGAATTGTGACATAGTCCTTTTTAAGCAAACCAAGAAAGAATAAGGGTGAACAATAAAGAAGAATAGGTAGGATGCAAGAGTTTATAAACTGTAAGAGGAGGGGTTGAGTTATACCCGAGTGCCTTAACTTCTTAATGTAAAATGTCAGGCGGAATATTTTACTGGAGATCGCTAAGACATGGGAAGACCAGGAGAGATCAGAAGAGAGAATAAGTTCAAGATACTTAATTTCTGATTTAATTCCTATATCACTGTCGTCAATCTTACAACTGTCATGAGAATTGACGGCTTCTTTTAACTGTCGTTTACATCTTAAGCTGAAATTAACAGTTTGACATTTAGAAGGATTCAGTTTAAGACCGTTAGACTCAGACCATTTACTGACTCCCGACAGAAAGCTATTTATTTTAGTACAATCTAGCTGGGAGTTAACAGCCATTGAAACTGTTAAATCATCAGCGCACTTCACAAAGTTTATTTTATCAGACTCGCCTTAAAACTTCGACTGAATACACTTCTGCTGACCATATTCTTATGCTAGCTGATTAACTAACATTCAATTTCATTAAATAGCACTAATTAAGTTGCAATTATACGCTGTTTCTTTTCGTCAATCTCATTCACTTTTATTCAGAGATATACGGTTAGCTAACGATATCATTTTGCATACTCAATAAAGCCTGAGGCTTAATTGACAATTGGCTAAAAATTTTAAGAAAATTTGGATTACTATCAACTTTAGGGGCGAAAAGTGAAAATCTTTCAGTTCACTCCGTGATATTTCTGTGTGGGAAATGTCTCCTTTTTGCTCAAAAACTAACATTCTCAGTTAATTTCGCCTTTCTAGGGAAAAATTATTCTGTTAATTTTTCCTATTTGAGAATTCTTTCTCACAGACAGGAGTAAAGTGTGACAAAAATATTGAGGCTTTTGTATTAATATTCAAGTGTTGGTTTGTAGGGATTTGGTTGACTGGTTGCAGGATTTCATCATGAGCTGACATTGGTTAGAGAACCATTGGAAAACCTGGGAGTACTGGACAGCCGTTTTGTCCTAGTTTGGGACTCCTCAGCACTACGCACCCACCACCAGAGTTCAAACCCACGACCTTCTGGTTACAAGGTGAGCTAGCTCGTAAACCATTAAGCCACTGAGATCCGACCCAATCCTCCATGAATTCTAACTTCTGCCAATTCACGATATAGCTTTTGTATTAATCATGAGGTAGGTAATTCAGTGGAAGAACAGTGACCAACCATCGTCGGACATCTTCAGGGCTCTACTCCCAGCCAACTCACTTAAAAATCCCGCCTAATTTACTGACCCATAGTAAGCCAGAAGAAGTTAATTATTCCAAGCTTCTAGCTTGAAGCCGTCCTATGTTCAACTGGGAATGTAAAGGAATAAAAAATGTAGCTATTGGAAGTTCAAAGCTTGAGACCGTACATCCCACTTGGAACGCATAGGATGAATATATATAAAGGAGTTTCTTGCTTTTTGGAACTCGTCGGCAAGGAGCATTTGCAGCTTTGAAGGAAATTACATGGCGAGTTGAAATCTTCGACAGAGGACATTATATCCTTAGGGAGTTGCATATCGGCCCTACTGACGAGTACCAGGAAGCACGAAACCTAAATCCAGGACCTCTGACAGATTCTTTGCAATTATCGAATATCAGATGTGAAGATGCACTGTGATGGTAGTAGCTATTGAGACTTCGAAGCTTGAAACCATACGTTCCACGCGAGACGCAAAGCGTGAACTTCGAAGGAAATGACATGGCTAGTTCAAATCTCAGCGAAAGGATAATAGTTCATTAGGGGGTAGCTTATCCGCCCTGTTAATGAGTGCTGACAAACACGTAACCTAGGTCCAGAACTTCTTGCTAGCCGTCTATATAGAAGCGAAGGACTATGGTCATAACACTGGTTACTTCGTGGTGTCCAGTGAATGTTTTATTATAGAACGGCATACATATTTTAAACAGTTATGATAACTATTGTAAGCAGAGTAGTTCATAATTCCCTTAATGCTAATTGATATTGATTTCTGAAGATTTAAAAGGATGTCTGGGGTTATACAAGAATCTACTGGCTTTATGGTTATTATGCATGAAGCAATGAATATCAGCATGTGAACGTCAAATACAGTGTTTATATTTTCAATCGTTTATATATATTTTCAAGTATTTATATTTTCAACGGTTTCAAGCTGCGAAGTTTCATTAGCGGTAAAAGTGTGCCTTCTTTTACGGCGTCGGGTCGCTAGTCTTATCTCTCCCCCAACCTTCCCAAGTTACAAGTTGTTTACGACTGGCTATGTGAAGCATCAAAGATAGGACTTCAGGTGAACATAGAGAAAACAGAGGTGATGAAGATTCCTGGGCAACACCACCAACAGCAACAACAACAACTGACAACAATCAGCATAAATGGGAGGAACCTGAAAGAAACAACCTATTTTACCTACCAACATGGGAAGCATCGTTTCAACTATAGGCGGACGGAACTGACGAGGATATCAAAGCAAGAATCGGGAAAGCAAGACAAGCTTTTGTTTATCTCAAGTCTGTGTGGAGGTCAACAGCACTCAACATCAAAAATAAGATCCGGATTTTCAACTCCAATGTGAAGTCAGTCAGTGCCACTATACGGATCAGAGACTTGGC